CTTCAAGTACCTCTTTTTTTTAATCAAATTTGGTATTAAAATTATAATAGCGTTCCATCTTATTTTAATTTTTAATACTTGATTTTAATTATTTTATAAATATTTATGGGTTAGTCCACTGACTTTCGTCTAATAGTGGTTGCGACCAAATTTTAAAAAAATCTAGTTTTAATATATATGTGAAACTCGATGATTCCCTGAGTTCATTAACCATAATATTATGGTAAAAATTTTATTCCCTTTAAAAATATTAAATATCAAAAGTAGGAGGTTCACAATGTGATTTTGTAACCATAAATTTTTCAATTTTTTTAAAAACGCTATTATTAAAAAACTATTAAAAATTAGATGTTGGAACTCACCAAAAACATAAATCACTTTATTCTGCACAGAGGAACGAAAGAATTATTGCAAAAATTTATTATTTTTGGATGATATACGATTATAAAAAAAAATTTTATCTAAATATTCTCAAGATTTTTATTTACTTATAACTTTTTTGTCGGTGCTCCGAAAAAATTGAGGTTTTGCACAAAGATTTTTTATAATATTCTTTACCTTCTATTAAAATCTTACGAAGGTGTTTTGCTTCGTTTTGGAGAAATTAATTTTTAAAATTTTTTATTTAAAAAGGTTAATTAAAAGACTTGAAGTTAACTGACCAATTTGAAATCGCTACATTTTAATATATTTTTATAAAAAATGGAGCAGTTTGAATTTGGTTAGTTAACTTCAAGTCTTTTAATTAACCTTTTTAAATAAAAAATTTTGAAAATTAATATCTCCAAAACGATGCAAAACACCTTCGTAAGATTTTAATAGAAGGTAAAGAATATTATAAAAAATCTTTGTGTAAAACCTCAATTTTTTCGGAGCACCGACAAAAAAGTTATAAGTAAATAAAAATCCTGAGAATACTTAAATAAAATTTTTTTTAAAATCGTATATCATCCAAAAATAATAAATTTTTGCAATAATTCTTTCGTTCCTCTGTGCAGAATAAAGTGATTTATGTTTTTGGTGAGTTCCAACATCTAATTTTTAATAGTTTTTTAATAATAGCGTTTTTAAAAAAATTGAAAAATTTAAGGTTACAAAATCACATTGTGAACCTCCTACTTTTGATATTTAATATTTTTAAAGGGAATAAAATTTTTGCCATAATATTATGGTTAATGAACTCAGGGAATCATCGAGTTTCACATATATATTAAAACTAGATTTTTTTAAAATTTTGTCGCAACCACTATTAGACAAAAGTCAGTGGACTGACCCTTATTTATATTTTTGTTGTAATTTTTATTTTATAATTTTTTTTTTATTCTTATCTTATTGTTACTCGTCGCATGGGGGAAGAGTGTGTCATCTCAGATCAACGATCAAAACTGCGTGCCTTTTCGTGCAAGCGGCGAAAACTATGTCTGTTCGGATGAAAAGTGAAAAAAAATACCTTTTCAGAAATGCGAAAATTTATTTCTTTGTTTTAAGTTGTCAATATACAATTACGAGAAGTTGGTAGGGTCAATTGGGATAAATGGGGACAAAATCGCTATTTTTTACAAATCACGTAAGTTTCTTCCTTTAAAAGGTAATATTTGCGGGTTTATATTTTTTTTAAGTTGTTATTTACGTTTCCAGGATTAATTTTATGCAGCAGAAAAAAATTTAGATAAGCTTTAAATGCATGAAACTGACTGTCCCCATTTACCCCAAATTTTAGAAAATTTCATAAAATTTGGGGTAAATGGGGACAACAGCATAGTTTCTAAGAAAGTTTAAAAAAAAAGTTTCCTAAAGTATATTACTATTTTAAGGGATGAAAAAACTTGAAAAAAATTTGTGGTAGATATATAATAGTTGAACGAATTGAATTTTTTTTATTTTTTTTCATTTCAGTATTTTGTCTCGCATTTGAAAAAAAAACAAACTTAAAAATCATACCAAATTTTTTTCTTATTCCTTATGACTCCCATAACATAAATTCACTTGAATTTTTGATTTTTATTAATTTGGCTAATAATGACAAGCTGTCCCCATTTACCCCAAAAATTCGAAAACTCAGGGTAAATGGAGACAGCTTGCCATTATTAACCAAATTGACAAAAATCAAAAATTCAAATGAATTTCTGTTATAGGAGTCATAAGGAATAAGAAAAAAATTTGGTATGATTTTTAAGTCTGTTTTCTTTGAAATTCTCGACAAAATACTGAAACAGTTTGACTTTGATTTTCAAGTTTTTATGCATTGAGCGATAACTTTTTTTATCTTGCTGCCAATTGTCAAGATAAAAGCTTGGCAATACTCAAAACCTCTTGCAGGTGATCTGAGGTTAAAATATTGACGTTGAACTTAATTTTAAAACTGTAAATTAAGCTCCAAAACCTCTTGTCCCCATTTACCCCAACTGACCCTAATTGAATTTAAATATTTTTAAAAATAATCTTTATTATGAAATGATTAATTTTTCATTATTTTTTTTTTTCATTATTTTACTGAAAAATTTTAAATTAATTTTTAAAAATAATGAAAAATTAATAATTTCATAATAAAAAGTATTTTTAAAAATATTCAAATTCAATGACCAACTTTTCGTCATTGTACTGCCAACCATAAACAAATAAACAAATTTTTGCATTTCTGAAAAGGTATTTTCTTCACCGTTCGTCAGAACATGCATGGTTTTAAAGCTTGCACGAAAAAGCACAATCTTCATCGTTGATCTGAATTTGGTACACTCTTCCCCCCAGATGACGTATTGTTATAGTCGTTCTTATCATTGTTGTTGTTGTTGTTGTTGTTGTTATTGTTATAGTATTTGTCTTTGTTGTTTATTATCATCGTTATTTTCATTGTTATTTTGTTGTATTTCGCAAATAGCAATTACAATTACAATAGTATTACAATTTTTTTTTAAATTTAAAATCTCGTAGTCTATCTAAATGTAATACGTGAGTTTATGTGTTTGAATTATAAATTTTAAAATAATAATAATAATAATTTTTTTTAAAAAATTAAAAAAATTTTTTTTTCATATTTTATTCTTATATTATTTTTTGTTTTTCTCTTGCGTTTTGTGTGACTATTATATACCCGCAAAGTCAATGTGTATAAATGCATTATAATTTTCTCTGCAATCTGAGTTTATAAAATTTCATTACTACAATTAACTTTACTAAGCAATATTATGTATACTTAATAGCTTGCAGTAGCACATTACACGCATCATAGTATAAATTTTGCCCCATTGCAATTGAGTAAAAAAATTTACATCATATATATATATATATATATATATTATAAACAAATTTTCTCAGTTATAAAAAAGTTACCAATTTCAATTTTTTTTATTAATTCAATTAAAAACAATTGCGTATAGAAATAATCTCGATTTTCCGGAAATGTGCTTGTTTTACCATTAAAAACAAATTATATAGATATATCTATATTACATTATATTCTTATCAGAATATGATAGGTATATATTTTTTTTAGCTGTATCCAGTGTTTTTATGCCATTGCACTTATGATAACACTTTCATTTTAAAAAAAACATTACTTTAGGCCCGTATTTATATGACCTGTGTATAATGTAAACAAAACATGAAAACAATAAACAAAACCATTTTCAATAATTATAAAAATATGTTAAAGTTTATAGAACATAAAAACAATAAACAAAATAATTTTTAATTATAATAAATAATTTTATAATACAAAGTATATGTTACAACTTATTTCCAACTAAAAAATTTTTTTAATTTATTTATGAAACTCTAAAAATTAAGTAATTTATTAAAATTATTTATTATAAATATAAATAATAAAATGATGATAATAATAAGATTTATTACCAATTAAGAAAAAAATTTTCTTTGTTTATGAAACATTAAAAATTAATTAATTTTTATGTCGTTTCATCATTTTGGCACTAAGAATTTTTATAGTTAAACAAAGACCACAAGAATTTTTTCTAATATTATTGCAATTATGATTTTTTTATTGCTTAAATAATAATAAATAAATGTATAATAATTGACGAGGGAACAACACGCCAGTTTTAAATTGGTATAAATTAGAGTTGAATTAATAAGAATGTATGTATGTTCTTAAATATATTGTGTATAATATAATATATACAATATGCAATAATAATAATAATATCACAAAGAAAATGAAAATAAAAATAAGTTTCATAAAAAAAAAACATTGAAAACTAGTGCAAATAAAGTTTTTAGAACATTTAAAATAATTTTAATATTTCTTTTATAATTATACATACCATATATGCATATATATAATTTAATAAAGAAGATAAATTGATAATAAAAATATTACTATAAAAAAATTTGTATAAAAATGTAAATTTGTAAAAAAATAATTCAGAATACATGTATAAAAAAAGAAGTATTTGAAAATTTTAATTAATTAAAAAAACATTTTTTTCTTTTGGTCAATTTAACAATTTTGTGTATATTTATATATAATTTTTTTTTATTAGCTTTTCTTATAATACACAATGAAAGTTTATATTTATAATGAATGTCAAACTGTGTTGAAATCCTAAGAATGTAAAAAAAATTTAGCCTTCAATTTCATTCAGTATATATTTAAACTGTATGTACTGCAAATGAACAAACTTTAATCATTCCATGAGCAATTTTCATTTCAAGCCTTTTGTCAATTGATATATTAACTCACGGACATTACAGTCAGAAAAGAAAATTTTTCTTAAATTAAAATTCTATTTAAATAAAATACTTTAAAGTAAATCAAATTTAAAAAATCATATCATAAATATACCAATTTCATATTAATTTATTATAGAAATAATAACAATAATAATAATTATTATTATTGTAATAATTAACATGATGATATCGATAATAATAACAATTTATTAAAGAAAAATGTAATTTTAACAAAAAAAAAAAAATAATAACTATCAAAAATTAAAAAAAAATGATTAATAAAAATTATAATATAAAAATATAAAACTCACGTGATAAAATGTCTAAAGAAAAAGCGCCACATAGATTGATGCTATAAAACGGGGAAAAAAAATTTTTTTTTTTTCAAATCACTTTCACAGAAAAAAAATAATTAATAACACACAAAAATATTGATGATAATCGAAAGGAGCAGTAAGTTGACATTTGGCGGGATTAATTATTATTCACTCGCGTTCGAATTATATTGAATCGTGTGCCGCACTTTTGATCACGTGGTTTTATCAAAAAATTGTCGAGAGAATGTCAAAAATAAAACTAAAAAAAAAAATAAAATAAAATAAATATAATTTCTTATCCTATCTCTGTGAAGCACAGACTTATACTGATTCAAAACAGCGCTTCGCTTCGTATTTGATTTCTCGGACCCGTCGTCAGTGGTGTGACCAATCCTCACTCCCAACTCGACGAAAGTTGTAAGAAACTATTAAACTGCTTTTCTTTTAAAAGAATTTCAACTTCAGCTCTTTTTTTTTTTAACTCTATATTTAAAAATAACTTTTCCATATATTCGTAAAAAGCATTTTTAAACTTCAACCCCCGCCCCCCCCCCCTATGATATTTGATTTGAAAGATATTTTAAATAATAATAATAATAATAATAATAATAAACACTGAAAACCATATAATTTATAAAATTAACTATAATAATTTCCGTATTCATTTATTCATTCAGTCTGTCCAAACTTGAAGTTAGTCGTATTTTGTTCCTTTTGTTTTTCTAAAATTTTGACAATTCTTGATTTCGTAATATTTTATGGTTAACACGACGGCTATTTTTATTCATCGTCATTAATTAAGTCATATACTAAGTGACAGTTTAAAGTAAAAAAAAATATTGTTCATTGTATACAGCACCAGTATATTTCCTACTTGGTATTTATAGAAAAAAAAGGTTTCAATTATAATATAATTTTTATTATTATTTATAAATTTATTATATTATATAAACATTTTTTTATATAATGATTATTACAGATAATTAGAACATTTTAACTTATAAATATTATTTCTTTCATTATTTTTTCATTATTCATTATTATTTATTATATATTATTATTCATAAATTTATTATTATCAATTTGTTTTTATTATTAATTATTAAATTTTTATATTTTTTTATCTGTAAACAATATAAAAATAGTTTGCGTTTTTAAAAAATTTTCAATTTGATTTTAATTTTTAATTTAAATTTAAAGTTTAAAACATTACAAAGTTTTTTTTAGGTTTTATTTTTTCAAAATTTTTAAATATTTTTTAATTGCTTAATACTTTTTAAAATATAATTAATAATTTTCAGTTAATTTAATTTTCTTTTTGATTACATAATTTTTTAATATTTATTAATTATCAATTAATTAAATTTTTTGAAAGAAAACATAAATTAAAAATTTTCATTTGCAACGCAATATTTATAGAAAATACAAAAAAAAATATTTAGCAAAACTAATTTTTTGTAATTTCAAACATTATAAAAAATCATCGAACATTGACTTTATCAAAAATATTTATTTCTAAAATTTTAATATTTATATTTTAAAATTTTAACTTAAAAATCTTATTTTTTTTACTATCAATTCACAAAAAAATGATCTTACTCGTTATAAACATTCTGTCAATAAGAAAATCCATTCGTCAGTAATATCTTTTATCCCAACAATCTCTGCCTTTTCGTATACAGTATACATAAGTGACAAAGAATATTTTAATCATAATTGACACAACATAATTAATTTTTCTCGGCATTTCAAGTGGCGGCGGTTATGTTGGCGATACTAGAATTGATTTATCAACATTTACACCGCCAATTGTAACTATTGGTTTTAATCGAGGGGGAATTTACTCAGGTAGTCAAGTGTACACTCTTCCTGTAATACTTGTGTAATAACACAATCTTTCGGATTTAAGAAATTTATAAGATAAGAATCCTTGGTATATTGTCCGATTTTGAAAAGAGTGTCCGCGTTTCGAGCAAAAAATTTTTTAAAATCAATGTTTATCATTTTGACGTTCAGTGCCGTTTTTATAGGACGATATTATTAAATGCCAAAGAATTTCAGATTTCAGTGACCGTTCGACACTCTTAATCAGATATGGGTACGTAGGAAACCTCGAAGTATAATACAATGTATTTTACGTGTAATATATACGTATTATTCATGAGTTTTCTAAATGTGTATTATACATAAGGCTCATTTTGAGAAACATAACCCTAAATCTGCTTGTTTCGAATTTTCAAAAGTTCTGATATTAGCAATTTAAAATGTTAAAATTTTTTACAAAATTATTGCAAATAAGATAATATTAATTTACTCAACTGAAAGTTCTCAATTGACCAATATTTAAATAGTTTATTTATTAATTAATACTTCATTATCAGCAATAAACCAGAAAGTAAAGAACAAAAAGAGGTTATGTTGACATTGATGCGGCTACAATGTCGAAAACTTGGTTTTCTACAGTATTATACGTATAATACGTCATTTATGTATTATACGTAGAAAACCTCCAGAAAAGAACTTTTACCCATCTCTGCTCTTAATGAAAATTTGTTTGATTTAAACTTAAAGGTTAGTTTAGAATAAGCGCATGTAAATTTCCACTAGAATTCCAGTATAACGTCCAAAATATGCCATATCTTTATTATATTTTTGACATCTGTCTCACCCTGCTTTTCTCTATTCTAGTTCCTCGTCCTGTATCGAAAAAAGCTACTATTCCCTGCAAAACAACATTTATTTTAAACAATATATTTATAATAATAATAATGAAATGTACAAGAAAAAGTTGTAAGAAACTAATCATCTTTTATGGAGTGCATCGGTCAGCGATTTTATCTATTTGGCGCGGCGACTCGCTAGCGCGCCACTCGCGCAATCTGAAATCTTCAATATTTTTTAAACTAATGAATGAATTAGTTTGACACTATCCAGAAAACTTCATTATGTTGTTATACGCAAAAGTTTTTTCAACTTTGAACTTCCCCGCAGACTTTTTGCCGGAAAAGGTAAGTGTGTGTGTTTACTGACAGGTATTTTGTTTATGATAAAAAATTGTTCAACAATTAAAAAATTTTAATATTTATTTTATGTTTTGTCTTTAATGGACTCTAACGCGTGTTTATGCAAAATTCCAATCAAATTAATTAAGATTTGACAAAGATACGACGATTTATATTTAAAAATTAAATGAAATTTGAAAATTAAAATTTATCAGTTTTTTTTTAATTTTTAAATAAACTATTCGTTTTGATAAGAAAAATCCAAAGGAAAAAAAAGATGTGCCTTTTTATTTCCTACAAGGTAGTACTTTTCAAAAATAAAAATTTCGAATTTTAATTTTATCTGCATTTTTGTGTGTTTGACTGTCAACATAGCGGTCAGCCGAGAGCGCTCGGCGAATTCTTCTTCCCGGCCGCTCAGTTGCATTGTATTTTTAAGACTTTAAACTGTAAGAAACCATCATAAAAAATCGATTCTTTGGTCGATAACACTCATTTTCTCAGACCCGGTCAAATATAAGAATATACTAACTTTGAATCAAACAAAATTTATGTTTAAATAAAATATATTTTAGGCCGATTTCATTTCAATTCAGATAGGCTATATGTTTCTGCAACTCATGTTATCGTTTCCTATGAAAATATATTATTTTTTCTCCAACATTCATTTTCTCTTCGGTTTAAAAAACAACGATAAAAACAGTTAACAAAATCAAAGGAACTTTCAAAACTTCGGTTGTTTACTAAAAATTAGATTTAGTGAAATTTCTATTAATACTTTCTTGTGTCAGTTTTTCAGAAATGACAATTCAAAAGACAAAACGTCTAGAAATAAAACACTAACGAAGAAATAAAGGTAGCATAAATCTAATAGCAACAAATTAAAAAAAAATATAACAAAAAAATTTTTTACTCTTTCTCAAGACGCAGGACCTCAATAAATTCTTTTGGAAAAATAATCATTAGACTTCGAGAAAGCAATAAAAAAATCAAGAAGAAAAAAAAACACTGGGTTTTTTGAGAAAATTTGATTTTAATTTTTTTCTAAAAATCGCCGCCATTTTGTTAAATTTTAATATTTTTTTTAATTTAACATGCGGGATTTAAAAGAACGTTTAATCCAGAATTAGGAGCAAAAAGAATCATTAAATTATATCCATTTGCATTAAAGATACAATAATTTAAAAATATTTTATCGTCATTTTTTTGAAATCTGACTTTGCAGTTATAAAAATTCAAATGCGCCTAACTTCGTTAAATAATTTTTTTTGGTAAAACGGCAAAACACGTGCGTCGTCTAAAATTGTGTGAAAAATAATATATTTTCATAGGAAACGATAACATGAGTTATACAGAAACATAGCCTGTCTGAATTGAAATGGAATCGGCCTTTATTAACAAAAATGTATTTTTGAATTAAACTTAAATATATGTGTTTGAATGTTTATCAAAAATATATACACGGAAAGAAATTTAGTAGCAATATTTGATAAATCTGATAGGAAATTTTAGTATTCTCTTTTTCAAACGCGGAACATTTGGGTTTGATAACGAAAATCGGTATATTTTTACCAATAGTCTTTTTAGTAAATATATTCCAGAAATTGGAATTATTATTTCGTAAATTGATAAATTTATACGAAAAACCAGAAGTAAGTTAAACCGACGCGCACTTCATTATTTACTAAATTTATATGAAAATTTAGAAAGATTATTTCGAAATTTGTTAAAACTATACTAAAAATTCGAAGTGGTTCAGTCGTGACAGATGACGACAGAAACACCAATAGATTCTACGCCAAAGTTTTATCTCTTTCTCATCTCGAGGATAGACGAGGATATGAACTTTTAAATGCACACACACACACATACACCGCATTGTTTTACATCGATTGGCTTATTTTTATTCCTAACCTATACTAACGATAATACGTATAACATTCGCAGAATAACGCTTCATATACAAATTTACGCTCATGTGACCATTCTTATATACTAACCAGATATATTTTTCACCGCTTATGAGAAAGGTGAAATTATATCAAAACATGTTTAAAAATATAAATAAAAATCATTATTTATTGGGAAATAATTAAATATTTTATTATTTTTTGAAGAACAATTTTTTTTACTGATTTATTGTAAAATCTTCGAAATTAATTATATAAAAGAAATTCAGGTCTGTATCAAGATAATAGTAAAAAGGGACTTGTCTAAAGAGCTTCGTCAGTCTTCGTTACCACTCGGTGAGGATCGGGCAATTCCGAACGTTCAACTTCGGCAAATTTCGTCGAATCTCGTTAACTTTGATATTTCTTTTTCAATTTTCATATC